CTTGGTCTTGTTTTAAATTTGACTTATGAGGGTTCTCTTAAATGTGTCTTGCATTGAGTGATTGTTTCGAAATGATTGGATAATTAAAAAGCTACATACAGTATAACAAATATATACATAACTGTAGGAGCACAATAGGGTGTTGTTGGTGTTTCAGTTTACTTAAATTTATATGTATCGTGCAATATTATTTTGGTAACACTTTATTTTGATAGTCCATAGTTAACACTCTATAAGTCATCAGTTGACATTTAGTAGCATGTCAACAGTGCATCAGTTGACATTCAACAGCACCGTTCAAACCGACAAGTAACTAAGCATTAGTTGATGATCAACAGATAAGCAACTAAAGTTCAGTTGAATATTACATTAAGCATTAGTTGATGATCAACAGATAAGCAACTTTAGAGTTTAGTTGACTATCTGTTGATCGTCAACTAATCTAGAGTTGACTATTAGTATACTTTTAGTAGGTTCTCCACTAAGCGTTTGTAGGCATGTGTTAGGACTATCCAATTAAAGTGAAAAACAGTTGAGAACAGTAGAAAGTCTATAACCTATCAACATAACACATACATGCTACTAAATGTCAACTGATGACTTATAGAGTGTTATGGACTATCAAAATAAAGTGTTACCATTATTTTTAACACTTGGTGGCGGGGTTTAGCTGCACCAGGTGTATAAAAGGGGTCAAAGGTGGCAGGAGAGGACGAGGACACAGGAGGAAGAGCATACCGATTCTACCACACCACAGCCCAGCCCCGGCAGATGCTCATTCCACAGCTATTGACACAGTGTACTTAAACCTTGGTATGTAAAGCAATAACACATCTGTTTGTGTCTGCGTCAGGATCACTCTAAACCGACTGTGAATTAATGGAAAAAGGATATGGGACATTAAAGTTGCCATTACAATAACAGACATTACACCGCATTGCAGACAGTAAAAGACATTAAAAATCACCAAGAATTAACACACAATAAAGGATTATTTTCATCGTGGTCCACTGTATCACAAGGTATCCGCATTTTCCCCTTATAAATTGTGGTTATCAAGAAAAGTGTCACACTTATTGGAAAACATATAAACCTTGTAATAATCATAAGTAGGATTTATCATCTGGGGACCATGAATGTCAGTATAAAATGTCATAGTAATTGACGAAATGGTTACTGAGATATTTGAGTTTGGACCCCCAATACTACGTGTCTCTAAAGTCTGTTATACTTTAACATGGGTAGGTATTTTAAAAGATACAAAACAAAGTGAAAGAACCAACCTGTAGAGAATTAAAATACGACATAACAATCATCATTTATACACTAATTCTATATCCTAAAAATGGAGCTGGCTGGGTATTTTTTATTTCATACACTTACAACATTTTACTTACTCCTGATTATTCATTTTCCAAAACATACCTATATCATCCTTTACCGATCTCTCCTGCACTTGTCATGACAATTACTGCATTCCCGTGGTGGGGCTTATCCTGCTGTTCCACCTCCCTTATTCTCTACTTCTCCTCCCCAGTTTTTTCTTAAACAAATACTGACTGAGGAGACTTCTGCAATAACGATTATTACTGCTGAAACAGCACAAGACAACACGAGTAATTATTTGTATATATCCTGTGTCTATCAGCTATGGGATTAGAATTGTATCGATTGTTATGCTTTTATTTGTCTGTCCATATAGCCCTTATGTGCCTTTTTATCTATTCTTATGTGTGCCTTTTATTTATTATTGTAATATTATATTTTATTATAATGTTATGTCTGCTGTGAAGCACTTCGGTAAAACCCTCTGTTTTAATATGTGCTATATAAATAAAGTGGATTGGATTGGATTAGACAGATGAACATCCCTATATTTTCTCTGCTCAAGGGAAAAGTCTAGGATTGTGTGGGAGCTTAAAGTACAAATAAGACTAATAAAGATTTTTTTATTTCTCACAATTTTTTCGTACAAAGATATTGCACTAAATGTCTTTGTTTACTTTTTAAACTGATCGCACTGTGCCTGCAAACTTGGAATAACAGCTGTATTATGAAGCTGAAACATAGCACGGTGCGGAATATGTCAGATTTCGGAGAGGATCTTGAACATTACAGCAGCAGCACTGTGAGGTCCAGCTCTTACAGAAACACAATGACCCTCGGAGGAAAAAGAAACATGCTGATGCTGATCCATCAAGAGACACACAGCTGTAATTAGCAAGGAGCATCATGGGAAAACCTCACACTGTTGCCCTGAACTAAAGAGAGTGGATCCCTTACCTCACTTTATGGAGGAACACTAAAAAAACCTGCAGAAGGTCCAAACCTGAACAGCATGTTCGAAACAAAGGAGCTCCTTGAATCCTGAGCAAAGGAAGTACAAATGTTGTAAGTGTATCTCTATCTGGTGCGCTAAAGGGGAAAATATTGATTTTAACTTGTAGTAGACTTGTACAACTCATTTAGCTCAGACACATTAAACATGACTAAACTGCAATGTATTCATCTGAAAAAGAGACAAATATTAAAATAAATATTTAAGACTATTTTAACAGTTTGTTCTACCACTGAATGCTCTTGTACTATAAAAAAAGAAGCTGTTTACTACAAGCTGAATTTTAAACACACCCATTTAAATAGTGCCATATTGAGGCAATTCTATTGGCCATTGTATTTGGCACAAATACATACCAAACGTCAAAATGTACTTTATTTGTATTTGTAGTGTTTTAAAATTATTTCAAAGCCAGAATAGTTGAAATACATTAAAAATGATTATACTTTACTAAACTGCTGCACGTTGCACTTCTAACATATACGTACATGATACATTTAACAGAACATACTTTTGATTAACTGTTGTTTTATTTTGTAGAGCCTGACAAGACACACACAGCCACCAGGTGTCATTGTAGACCCACATCACACAGTTCCGTATTTGAATGTAAAAAGTGCTGTTCTTGGTATTCAAAATAACTTTTTGTAAAAGTTTTCCTTACTCAGAATGTTATAAATCAAAGATAGCTCATTCATGAAGTCTTATCTCTGAGACACGATGGTATTTTGCAGGCTCGCTGATAAAGCTCCACAATTACTTTACAGTCTGCTATCTGTAACTGAGTCTCACACACTGAGCTTATCAGCAGTATGTGTGTGTGTGATATGTGTCACAGTCAAACTGCAGCAGAGGAGATTCAACTGCAGCGATATTACAGAGGTGTCACCGCCACACACAGGTATTAAAAACACACACACTGGAAGACTGGAACATCTTTAATGGAAATAAGAAATTGGGAATGAGGGCGAGTTGAATTCTTGAACACAAATGAAAGAGCTTTTACCATAAAACATTAGGGCAAAAAAACGGTCTTTATTTGATATCAATTGAAAATGTGGATTTTGAATTACTACACTTTTGTTTATCGTATATTTTCTAAAACATTGCACACAGTTTTGCATCAAGCGGCTGCATCTCAAAGGAATAGTTTCTGAGATTTACATGTGAAAATATGTGTCTGAAGCTAGCAGCTTGTGAGCCTAGTTTAGCTTGGTTTAGCCTAAGGAAGTGCCAGGAGGGAGACTTTGTTAAAACGCCCGAGTCACATCTTCAGCTCCAAGCATTTCAGTATCATTGTTTGTCTCCTGAGGTTTCCAAGGTCATTGAAAATCAACATTTCGCCTTCACTCTGTGTTTTTAAGACAGCGACTGCTCACTTATTTGCAGCCAGCTTGCCCCTTGAAGCCTTTCAAATCCAACCTCTCGACCTGAGGAGACAGTAATTGGAGTTGAGCTCAGTGCACTTAGCATGACACCACAGCACTGCATAGCTTTTCTCAGAGCACCTGAGAGCAAAATTAAGATTCCACTGGAGTACGGGAACAGCAGCAGTCAAATATCTTTTTGCAGCCCTCTCTGCAGAACGGCACATCTTAAGTTCTGCAACAGTCATGCTGCTCCTCTCGCCCTGGAGATACGCTTGGATAGCACAGTATAATCCCTTGTTAACAGGCAGCTCCCCTCTTTATGCTGAAGAGGCTGAGACAGAAGCCCGTGGGTCAGGATTGAACAGGCTGCTCGGGACACTTTTGATGTAATCATTTGCATCCGTATTGCAGTTGGATTGCTTTTCAGGGAAATTTGGCTTTAAAAACCGGACAAATCATGTCCTCGAGCATCAGAGGCATTGGTTGGCAGGACCTTTCTGAGAGGCCATCTGTTACACAGCAATAGAGATTCCACTGCATTCTAGATATGATTTAGGAGGATTATATTGTAAAATGTTGTATACATGATTTTTAAATGAATACATGTAGTATGCAAAATTGTTATATGTTGTAAATCCTTGAATTTATTTCAGTTAACTCCTGTATAGTTTTACAATAATTGGCTTACTGCTATGTCATGGGCTTGTTTTGTTACTGACATAAAAATAATTAAAACCTTAAAAATGGGAGGTCTGCAATTGGAGCTGTTACCATGTTTTCCTTGTGATGATCTGCAGTGAGAAATGTTCGTTGAAAAAGTGATGAAAGCATTTAAATAATTGAACACAGTAACTGCAAAAAAATATCAATATCACTTTTGAAAATACGTGTTTTATTTGTGCGTGATTGTAAAGTGTAAACTGATGAGAAACAAGAAATGGTGAGGACATGACCTCGGTGTCCTCAATGAGTCTGAATTGAGTTCATGAACCTATTCACAGTGCACTAAATTCAGAGGTGTGTCATTCTCTGACAACTCGAGTGTTGTTAAAGCAGCACTAAACAGAATAAATATAACACTTGAACCACCCTCCATGGCTTTGACACCTGAATGAAATTCATCCTATTATAGTAACACTTCCAAAGCATTGTTGGGGCTTTGTGCTGCTATTATGCAATGATCCCATTCTGCCAAGCTGCTTAGGCTAACAGGCACAACAGTTGCCTCCTATACTGCTGTCTCATGCATTCATGTAGTCCGGAGAGAGGACTCAGATCTGGAGACCGTCCACACACACACACACACACACACACACTTCTGGGGATCATCTGATTCTCAGGATCCAGCTGGAACAGGAGTGTATGAGCTGTTCATGACGGCAGCTGGCTTCCAGTCCGGCTGGTGAAAGTGGATGTTGAGGGTTCGAGCCCAGTTTGCAAACACAGCCTTCTCCGTGATGAAGCGATGGTGGCTTCCTCGTCGGCTCCTCTCGTGGGACAGGTACATGGAGCACTCGTCGGGTCCCGAGGGCTCGTAGTAATGATATGGCAAGGAGGGATGAGAGGAGGATCTGCAGGGAGAAGAGAGGAAACAAGAGAGAAAAGTAAAGGCATGATAATCAAAGGGTGAGGGAGAATGTGGGAAACAGCATGGGGATCATTTTGAAATGAGGGTTGGGGAGCGGAAGCGAGTCACAGTAGGGGAGAAATGGGAAGAAGAACAAAGAAAACCAGGAAGATCAGAAGAATCTAAGCTAACAGTGTGTGATCATTATTCACCATCTTAGTCCTCTGATGTTCACGCCAAGCTCAGAGGAAGACCGAGATAAGACTCACTTCCGATCCGGTCTGCATTTCTTCATGAATATTTAAATGTCAGGCATTCTTTAGCGCGTGAGAATATCCTTATCCAAATCATTTTTATATATTATTATATTTCCTGGGAACCTGGGCTTGGGGGGTATCACATTATCAGTATACAACTCTTGAACATAGGTGTTGCTACAGAATAAAAAAAAGAACAAATGAACCGGAGAAATGGAAAACTATTAAGCAAATTCAGACTGTAAGCGTATAGATTCAAACTTAAAGTATAAGCCTACGGAACGGTTCAGTTTACAAAGTAAGTCAAATCTAGCCCATTTAATATTAATGCACCAGCTCGAACAATGGTTTGGCTTATTTGGCCCAAATGGTCCTTTTTGTTCTGACTTTGTATCTATAGCAGTTTATTGAACTTATTGTAAGTCGCTTTGGATAAGCTCAATGAAATGTAACGTCATCAAAGATGTATTACAGAAGATTTTGGTTTTGGTTTGGATGTAGAAATACACCCACGCTGTCAGCACCCAGTGAATCACAGAGTCAATCTGCAACGGAAGAGTGTCCTGTCCATCTCATGCAATACTTGCCCCACTTTTTAAGACACGATGTGACAAAGTGAGTCCTGACGATAAGGAACTGTGATGGGTGACTTGGGTGTAAAATGTAACTGATGAAACAGGTACTGGCATAGAGCAACTCTTTAAAAGGGTTTGTGGATAATGTTTATGTTATTCTTTTATTAAAAACTCTGTTCTTTATTATTGTCATTTCTACTTGGTTGCTCGTTTGTTAGAGTTTCTGTTGCACCAGAGTCTTTCCTCATATGATTAATGGTATATTAAATAGGCCGTTAGATTATGTTATATCATGGCGCCTTTAATTGAAACCTGTGAGGTACCGTTTTTGACCCGAAAATCCAAGGACACAATTTTCTTGTTGTGTTCACACTGTTGCTAGGAAACTGACAAAAGAAGGGACTTTGCTTCGTTCCTTTGTCAAAGATAATTGAAGAGGATGTGTTTTCTGCATTTCAATGTCAAAAATAATTGATAAGAATAATATTTGGAAAGAGGCTTTCATAAGCTCCAACACATAATTACCATTGTGGAACATTGAAATTGACTTTTCTTATCAGCTGATTCTCATTAGAAAAGTTAACTCTGTGTACACTACCTGCACACCACTAAACAGAACTAGACCACACCAGTTGGTAGAGACCAAAACAGAGGTAAAAGAGAACATTATAATTATATTATACTTAGGCTACCACATTTTCAAGGTGAACAGACTCCCCAAAAGCATAACATTTGTTGCTGGTGTCAAAGTTAAAATATAAAGCTTTGTATATAAATAAATGAACAGAAATCTATCTCATCCTGTCCGGTTACTGCCTACCTAGCTGCAGTTTATCAAGGGTACATAGTATTTGAGTTATGTTTTTCTGTAGCTTATTTATGGGCAAAGATTCTAAACTAAAAATGTTTGATTAAAAGACACACCTGCAGAAATCAGGTGGCACCATGCCGTACACGTTGATCCGGTCACACAGCTCTACGGCTATCGCCATGGTGAACCAACCGGTGCTAAGCCAGGAGTTGGAGCTCTTCCTGAAATACAAGAGAACATAAACATTTAAAGTTTAAACATATATTGGGAGTACCAACTCTTTAAAAACAGTATCTGATCAAATACAATAAGAACAAAGATATGAACCAATAATTATAGCTTTCATCTGATCACTCATCTTTTCAGAGACAAAGCAAAAGACTGGCTGAAGAAAGACCTTCTTTGTTTATATGCCTTGTACAAAACCCAACAATAATATCAAAGCGCAAGATATTTATTCAGGCAGTGCTTGCATGACAGCCGAAGTGATTGAATTCCCCATTCATATTCAACATCCTCTCATCTTCCCGCTGACTTACTGTTCAAATCCATATGAGTTTATAGATTGACGCTGACAAATGTCTTCTTCTGTTAAGCTCTTATTTTGTAAGAAAATTATTCAGAAATGTTTCTACAGTACAGATCAGCATCCAAAAAAGCCGCATGTGACTGTTACGTGGTAAAAAGCAAGAAACTGTTTGATACTCAGTATAAACAAAGAAAGTGCCTTCAATTTAGGACGGTCTCAGTAAATCAAAAATCCTTTTAGGTATGGCAATTTTCTTTCATTTATGTTGATTAGCATTAAACCTGCGTCTGAAAATGTAAATGGTAAATCCTCTCTCAGTTAAGGGGAACACTTTCTGTAGGGTATTACGTGCTAAACATCTTCAAACATGTGTTTACTTCTGCATCAACAACGCAATAACCTAAAACAATACTGAGATTGGGAGTTTCTTACTCCCTCTGGTGAGAGGCTGTGTACCAAAGCTAAAATCCATCACAAAAAACAACAAGTTCTTATCCAAATGTTTTCGCTGATTCAAGAAGAATTAGGCAGCCGTGGCACTTCTTTGCATAAAAGATGCAGAATGAGCTACTACCCATTATCGCGGTAAAAAGTGATTGTTATTATTCATCTGTTTTGTGTCTTTCCAGTATCTTTCAATTTTTCACTCATTCAATAATTTGTCTGTTCTTCCCCATTTCTCACATGAGATTGATGTATGTTTCTTCCTACTGTATGTTGAGAGATTTCTGCAAAGGTCTTACTTACTGGTGGCACTATATTGGAAATGCTTTGCAATATTCTCCCTCATCCAGGCAGTAGTGGGTCAACATTAAACTCTGCATGACTCAAATCCCTTAAAATCCTTTCAGTGATAGCAGACACCTTTTAATCTAAATCCAATTAAATTATGCTGTGAGTGTTTAGGAGCTCTGACTTATTCTTTTTTAAGCAAGTGGGAATATGTGATGCTTTCTACTGGCTATTTTATTATTTTCACACACACAAGTTCTCAAAAACAAACCTCACAAAGACAGGTCTGATTCTTGGTGCATTTACCTGTCTATCCCTGTTTCCTTTTTAAACAGTTCATCAAACTTTAGCATTTTGGTCCGAGAAATGATGTAGACTTTAAGCCTTGGTAGGAGTTGGTTTAACAGCCGGAGGTTGTTGTAAACGTGGCCTTTTCCATCCCGCTTCATGCAGCTGCTGGGTCCCCAGAAGAGGAAAACCGTGTCCTGGCTGGCGTTAAGCAGCTGCTGTCGGCTCCGCAGGACCCTCTGCAGGCTGGAGTGAGCCACGACACGCAGGTTTGTACGTCGGCCAACATCCCGCTGATAGTTTATGCTGGGGGCGTCATTCATACGGATTACGCACTCGTTGCTGTCTATTTCTTCGCCTCTCTTGCTCCCCGTTAGCTGGCCGGAGCTGGTCACCAGAGCACAGGTCCTGCAGTGCATCTTCAGAGGCTGTAAGGTAAAAGGTTAAAGGTCAGAAATAGTGTTAGTTTCATACAGAACATATTAAAGACAGGCTGGCAAACCTGGTCTTATTAAGCCATCACATTTCTTTACAGTTCTTTTTCTGCCTCTAAATCCATGTTTAAGTACAAAATTGTACATAACAGTTGACTAAATGTACTTAGTTACTTCCCACCGTGCTCTTATATCAGATATCCTATTATTCAAATGAAATGCAGGTTGACAGCAGAGCAGAGGCTATTCAGTGCACTTCGTTAATAGGAAAACCATGAATACACTTTAGCCGGTATATTTATTCAGTCAAACACAATCTATGCAACGAAACAAGCAATGCTTTCTGCAGTTTTCTAGCTTTGTTAAGGTGCAATGCAGGGCTGTTGTGTTGGTCCGGTATTCGTTTGGTTGTATTGACCAAGTTTTTTTTTCAAAGTTGGAAAAGGCGAGCTCAGATTGAGCGATCCGACCCAGAGGCTCTTCACATGAATTATTCTCAACCTTAAAAGAGAGACACATTGGCATTCTGAACTGTGCGCCAAGCTTCACACTCCATCAGGTTCTGGGGTGGGAAAGTTTTGTGTGTGTGTGTGTGTGTGTGTGTGTGTGTGTGTGTGTGTGTGTGTGTGTGTGTGTGTGTGTGTGTGTGTGTGTGTCTGTCTGTCTGTCTGTGTGTCTGTGTGTCTCCCTGTCTGTCTGTCTGTCTGTCTGTCTGTCTGTCTGTCTGTCTGTCTGTCTGTGTGTGTGTGTGTGTGTGTCTGTCTGTCTGTCTGTCTGTCTGTGTGTGTGTGTGTGTGTGTGTGTGTGTGTGTGTGTGTGTGTGTGTGTGTGTGTGTGTGTGTGTGTGTGTGTGTGTGTGTGTGTGTTTGTGTGTGTGTGTGCAGGCATTGCTGCTTCCACTGCTATAGTTATAATACTCTCACCACCTCTGTGACCCCACACTGAATGATAATCTAGTGTGTGTGTCCACTATGTGTGTGTGCATCTGTGTAGTTCTGTATGTTGTTGGGGAAATATTTTCCAAGGCCCATAACTTTGACCCAGTTTATCAGCTCTGTCCTGACTGAGCACACGCACCTGTAACCTTGGCTGCTGTGCTTTCAGTGTTTAGTCTCCCTGTTCCTGCCTGTTGGCGTCAGCTGATAGACGTGTTATGATTCTATCTTGTTATGCACAATGTTGATTATTCTCTCTGAACTAGCTAAATACACGGGTCTGGGGGAGAGTTCTTCAGAATTGACGTGGCAACACTACCGTGAAGTCAGAACCTCTGACTCTTTGACTTGTTTTGCGAATTCTCTCCTCCTCCTGCATTGTTACACAGAAGTTTCCCCCACATATCTGAGTTTGATGCTGACCCAGATATGTAATACAACCACGTTTCTCTTGCAAGAGTCTGCAACTGTCTAAAAAGTGTCAAGATCCAAGTCCAGTTGTACTACTTTACATGTGCTACCACCCACACACTCCCAGTATTCACAGTATGTATTTCTTGGAATGTGTTCTCTCTCAGTCTGCAGAACCCCCCCCCAATAACAGGTTGGCTGGAGCAAATTATGCACTTCACTGCACAAACCCTGCAGTAGCTTGGAAAAAAATCATTGTCCTTTCAGCGGTTTTTCAGATAGAGCTGTTTTGCCCTCGGCGTCATCCAAACAATTACTTCCGAGAAACTTTTTATTATTTTCAGGGAATGTGTCAAACTCAATCGAAGGTTACACGGACAGTGTTGTTTGAATTGCTGGTGAAATACTAAAAAGGGTCCTTGACAGTGATGCTGAAGCTCCATTGCCACCTCCCTGAGCTTCTGACAGGTTGGTGATTTGGGAAATAGCCACTTATATATCACATTGAGAAGGGCATCCGCAATCAGATGATGATATTTCAGACCGCAGGAAGCTGCAGTTTTGACCTACGGACTGCTGAATGAATGAATAAATGAAGAGTGGTGTTTTGCATATTTCAGTGGGTTAGATTTTAACTTGTAATCAACCTTGAATTAACACAGCGGTGCTTTAATTTGTGAGCAAACTAGCACTTGAGCACACACTGACTCCCACACACACACATTCATTCTGCACTTTATCATGCAGACACAGGGTTGTCTACCTTCATTAATAATGTATGACCCCATAAGCTAACACTTTCTTAGTTTTATCAACTTTATGAGGCCATTCAGTGAACTCTGATGCCAAATGGACTAGAGAGAGACTGTCATGGCGTTGTATAGACATCTCCAAATGTGTCATATATTCACCAACTACGGAAGGCTGCTTATAAAAAATACATTAAAATAGTTTCTTAACATTTAGTGCGCTTGTACTAAAATGATCAATCTTCAAAGTGGCTGGCAAGTATTATTGTAGAGCTAATATCAGGCTAACCAATGCCATGAAAGAATGATTAGGTGAACAGGTACGCCTGGAAAAACATCTGTATGACCTTTTGTTGAGAGAACACAGAGACGGTCAAATTAGCTTGAAAAGTGGTAAAAAATTGCCGCCGCACTGGAAGAGGTGGAGGCGTTTAGAGCCGAAGAAGAAGAAGAAGACACAGGGGGTTGGCTCCAATTGCAGTCCCAGTCAATTACCGCCCACACAGTCATCAGTATGATCCTGTTTATACACTTCCCAGGGGAAACCAGGATCATAATTGCTTTCTGAGAAAACCCCATCAGTCAGCCTCTAATATCACTCCAGAGCCTACAAACCACNAAAGTAATACTTTATTCCGAGTGTGCTTGCTTTTCTCTTTGAAAGTCATCGATATGTAATATTTAATGCAGCTGAACCGTGTATTACAATGCCATTATGTGATGACTTTCAAAGAGAAAAGCAAGCACACTCGGAATAAAGTATTACTTTATTTTTAAAAAATGTTTTCGGATTTCATATCGCATAAACACCCTTTGCCAACGTGCATTGCGGCTAAACCATCGAACCACCGAGCTGAGGATCTTGCCTACGTCTGTTTCCGGTATTGTTAATGACGGATGTATTTTGTTATACACACATTCCTTCACATTTACATTTTAATTTACATTAAAGTATTTCGTGAGGCCTTCTAAAATGTTTTTAAATATAACTACTGTTCTAGTTGAAGAGTTTGTAAATTAACATGAACCAAAGCTGTTGCCTGACAACGCAATCGCACAACATCACGTCCGTTAATTCCACATCCACACACATGGATTAACATCGATTGAAGACATTAATGTAGCCTTTGTTTCTGCTAAAAGAGGTGTAGACCAGCTGGGGCAACAAGAAAATCGGCGAAATCAAGTGTGACTATTACAAAATAAATAATTATTATATTAATATTGACAATAACAACCGACCGTCGGGGTAGCATTTGCTTGGCATTTCAGGGTATATCTCAACTTGTTGGGCCATGTTAACAATACCGTGTAACTGTCACGTTTGAAGGGACGAAATCGTGACCTCTTCACGTCTCCCAGCATGGTAAATCGTCACATGTTCACGTCTTGCAGTGATACCGGGATGAATATAATATATCACCTGTAATATTGTGGTGCAGATACCCTTTCCATTTATTGTTTTCACTGAATGAAATAAATGTTTCATTTCACATCATGTGCTGCAAGATAATTGCTGTTTGAAAGAGATAATGCTGTATTGATTCAAATAAAATGCATTTTGTTAGCTGGTTTCACTCTCTGGAGAATTTATGAACAATAGCGATAAAGAACAAATGAGTTAGAAGATTTATTTGCTCTTGGGGGCACAGATATCGAATTATGCCAGTTTATATTGATTTATAAACCCCTCCTCCGTGAAGGACTTCCACACGGGCTATACCAGTTTATATTGTTTTTTTGATCAGGTGCCATTCAGAAAAATGTCTCTGCGTTCAACAGACCAGATTGTCCTATTTGGCCCAGGTTGTTGCATGTCGCCCAGGCTTTGGCTTTACGGGAGAGAAAGTCTTTCTCATGGAGTCTGTGTTGAAAGATGCTAGGTGTTGGAGAAATATTTTCCAAGGCCCATAACTTTGACCCAGTTTATCAGTTTGTACTGACCTCACTGAGCTCAGGCACCTGCAGCCTTGGCTGCTGTGCTCTCAGTGTTTTGTCTCCCTGGTCCTGCCTGTTGGCATCAGCTGATAGATGTGTTATTGTGCTTTGCCCATTTTATCTTGTTANAAAAGCAAGCACACTCGGAATAAAGTATTATTTAAAAAAAAAAAATCGGATTTCACATCGCATAAACACCAAATCCCAGCGTGCATTGCGGTTAAACCATCCGATCATCGAGCTGAGGATCTTGCCTAAGTCTGTTTCCGGTTTCGTTTATGACGGATTTATTTTGTTATACACATTCCTTCACATTTAAATTTTAATTTACATTAAAGTATTTCGTGGGGCCTTCTAACATGTTTTTAAATATAACTACGGTTGTAGTTGAAGAGTTTGTAAATTAACAGGAACCGAAGCTGTTGCCTGGCAACTCAATCGCAAAACGTCACGTCCATTAATTCCACATCCACACGCAGGGATGAACATCGATTTAATAAATTAATGTAGCCTTTGTTTCTGCTAAAAGAGGTGTCGACCAGCTGGGGCAACAAGAAAACCGGCGTAATTGAGTGTGACTATTAAAAAATAAATCATTATTATATTAATATTGACAATAACAACCGACCGTCGGGTAGCATTTGCTTGGCATTTCCGGGTATTTCTCCACTGGTTAACATGGGTTAACAATACCGTGTAACTGTCATGTTTGAAGGGACGAAATCCTGACATCTTCACGTCTCCCAGCATGGTAAATCCTCACATGTTCACGTCTTGCAGTGATACCGGGTTGTTTACTGTACATGCACAAAAACCTATGTTAAACATACAGGAAAGAGACATTCCAAAAAGCCTATATTAGGGCCTCTTCAATTCGTTTTTAAGGTGACTTCGCAACATCTGTCCTGGGACTACAGATGATAAATAGCATCTTGAGTAACCCTGTCTCATAAACCTAT